GTAAACCATAATATCATACTTAAAAAAATGGAAAGCTATGGTATAAAAAACATAACCTTTGACTGGTTCAAAATCTAAGTAACAGACAACAATGTGTCTTTTCAGATAATTTTAAACACTTAAAACTACTAAGAGTTAAGTGCGGTGTCTCCAAGGTTCCATTCTTGGACCTCTTCTGTTTCTTCTATATATTAATGACCTTACAAAAGTCTCGGAAAAACTTGATGAAATTATATTTGCCGTTTACATTATTTTATTCATCGTACTCAATTGATGAATAAAATAATGTAAAAATAAGACATTTATGAATGTATGAACAAAAAGCTTAAAAGATTAAATTTATGGTTGAAATTAAATAGGTTATCACAAAATACAAAAAAAAACAAAATACATATTGTTTTATTCCAAAAAACAAAAAAATAATATACCAACTACCCTTCCCTCACTAAAAATAGATAAGGTAAATATTGAAAGAACAGAAACAACTAAATTTCTTGGGAAAACAATTGACAAAAATATATCTTGGAGAGCCCATATAAGTTCAATAAACACCAAAATTTCAAAAAATATTGGGATACTCTACAAAGTTAAACCTATGTTATCCCAACATAATCTTAAATTGCTTAATTTTTCTTACATCCGCTATTATTACATGGGCAAGTACACACAAATCCAAATTGAGTACTATTTACATAAGTCAAAAACATGCATCAAGATTAGTTTATAATAAAGATAAACTGACCCACGTTGAACCCTTACTAAAAACTTTGAATGCACTAAATGTTTACCAAATCAACATCTACCAAAATGTTCTACTTATGCTTAAAAACTTGGACTGGTCCCATCGCATTTTTTAAATAAATTCTTTTCAAGTAAACTCTAATAGGTATATGACAAGAGCAACAGGCAACTTCACACTGCCCAAAAGTACAACAAAGTTCTCACGGTTTTCTATTTCCTACCGGGGTCCGTACCTATATTACAAAATCATATCCAAAAATATTGACTATATATAAAAATAAAATAGACTTTATTTAACCTTTTAAAGTCTTCCTAGACTTCTACGAGTTTTCCTTTACCACAACACGCATATATCTGAAGTACCAAAAAATTTCTTGTCTTTTTTTTTTCTTTTCTAATTTTTATTCTTTTATTTTTTAAAATTACTGGTAATTTTTATGATAAGAAACACTATTAATTTACGCTATACATAGATATACTTGTTAAACCAATTTTTATTATGTGGTATTATTATATTTTTACGTGGGATTATATTATGTCATGTAGTTATAACCTAACGATGTGTAAATATATCAAAGTTGTAAAAAAAAACAAAAAACATCTCAAATAAAAGAAAAAATAGTTTCTTATATAAACTTACTTGTGAATATGCCTACAAAAAAAAATTACAAATTCTGTTTAAAATAAAAGTTAAAAATCTAAAAAGACAGCAATAAAAAGAAATTAAGTTATGCAGCTTTTTTATACATGCGATAGTTGTGTAGTGGGTAGTATACTTGCGTTAGTGGTGTAGTGGTAGAGCGCTCGCTTCAATAGCGAGAAGTTCCGAGTTAGATCCCCATCACACCCTTGGCAGTACCGCAATCAACTTGTTTCTTTGCGCAATGGCCTTGTTTATTAAGGTTCGTTTTTCGGAGTTATGGAGTTGAGAGAGATTGTAACCACAATTAAGTAGCCTCCTTTTCTGTAGTGGCCTTCTTGGCCTTGTGGAGGTGAATTAACAAAACATTTTCAACTGCCTAAGTTTTTTAAATGATCATTAACAATAGGACATAAATCACTTTTTTTTTTTTTTAATTAAAATCAATTTTACCTAAGTAAATGATTGTGAAGTTTAATATTCTAGCAACAAAAGCAAAGTTAAACTAAGATGCTTTTATCTTCAATAAGTAAAAATCTAGTTTTTAAACATTTTTACGTCAATTTATAATAAACAAAAATCCTCATAATGTCCCTAAAAATTTTCATTAAAAAATAGCTTGAATTGCTATAACAATTCTATTGATTATCACGTAAGTGCTTTAACTTATTGTGTATTATAAAGTCTGTTGCATAAAAACCATAAAATTTATTTTCTCAAACATCGAATACTGTTAGATGTGTATAGAAATGATAGCTAAAACTGTCTCACAATCATAAGTTAAGCACTTAATGTATTTTTAAAAAGTTTAAATGGTTAGCTAAAGTCAACAAACGTGTTAGGATGACTTTGGGTCTAAATTTTACTATAAGTCACTAAAAGGTGCATTTAATTAATAAAAACAGCAAAGTACATGTTCTAAAATACAGGCATATATAAGTCCTATTTCAAACAAAAAACTGAATTGTTGAATTATACTGATTTAGTTGTATAATACAAAGATTTATACGGATTCTACAAAGATTTATACGGATTTAGTATTGTACTGCTTACGGCCGGCGCGAGATTGGTGCCATAATAACTTTTGCCAACTAAAAAAAAAAGTCCTCGTTTTTCAAAGTTCTCCGACTGCCCTATTGACATTTAACGCCTGACTGTCTAAATTCACCAACTAACTTGTTTGAAGAGCCTACATTCGCCAACTGACTTGTCAAAAAGGGCCAAGTTTCCGACTAAATCAACGAAAAAATCATTTATGGGGGGGGGGGGTGTCACACCCCTTCTCCCTCATTGTGCCGGTCTTGGTACTGTTAATATTTTGTTCAACTTTTTTATCATTACAAAACCCAAAGTACGCTAATACTTACACAAAATCATTAAAATTATTTCATAAAAATTTTTTTTTGCCACACTTATGCCTAAATCAACCCATGTAGCGGCCCAAATTAACCTAACTAATTTTGAACCTCTGTTACTAAAAAAGTTATATATCTTTAAGCTTCTAAAACAAGATAAAATCTAACACTGATAATTTAAATTGAAATGAGTATTTCTGTAGAGGCGGACCAGCTTTCTTTGGTCTTTGGGAGAGCTAAGTTCCAGATATGGAGCTAACTCCAAACATTTGCATGCTTATACTTATGTCAAATAATGAGGGTTTGCAAAAAATTGCGATGATTGGAGGCTTGGAGCAAATAAGCCCAAAAATTTTTCCCCTCTACCCATAACATGAGAGCAACAAGTTGATGAAATAATTTTTTACTATTCTCATTTAAAATTATTATGAAATAATTATAAAATTTGCAACCTTCTCAAATACAAAAACAGTAAGTTTTTTTCAATTTGCCACACAAAGTTAACCAGTTTAACCTGGGTACTAAACATTAACAGTTTTAAAACATTACATACTTTGCATATTTAATAACACCTCACAAAGGTAATTATTAGCACTGCTAAGATCTGATTTAGTTGGTTTATTTTATCATGCTCTTTATTTCATTACTTCCAAATCCGTTCTCAACCTCCATAAATTTCTTATTTGTCTATGTATGAAATACAGTTGTCATGTTTTAAAATGTTTAACAAAGATTTAGATAAGATAAACGAGTGGTTTATAAGTAACTGACTATCATTAAATGTAGAGAAAACAAAATTTATCCTATTCCATAAACCTAGTAAAGCTGAGAATATTCTTCTTAAACTACCCAATCTTTTAATCAATAATGAAATAATTAAAAGGATATTGACTACAAACTTTCTAGAAGTGCTCTTAGATGAAAAATTGTCATGGAAATTTCGTATTGAATATATTGAAGGTAAGATCTCAAAAAATATTGCCATGTTATACCGAACAAAACCTTTTCTTAATAACGAATCTTTAAAAAATTTATATTTTTCGTTTATACACAGCTATCTTTCATTATGTTTTTATATTTTTCGTTTATACACAGCTATATTTCAAATGTTACATATCTGTTACATTTCCTGGGGTAGCACTAATCACACTAAACGCAAAAATATTTATAGTAAACAAAAACATGCTTGCAGCATAGTATTTAGGGCAAATAGAAAAACACAATGCGAACCTCTTTTACGTCAGCTTGGAGCTTTAAATATTTATAAGCCTGATATTCATCAAGTAATGTTATTTATGTTTAAAGCAAAACTTGGGTTTTCTCCAGTAACATTTCAATCCTACTTTAATGAAATCTCCCATAAATATCCCACCAAATTTTCAGTGAATAACTTTGTGGTTCCCATAAACCTTCTTAAATTAAGTTCGTACCAAAATCAATATCGGGGACCTTTAGTTTGGAAAAAATTTCTTCCAATCTTTAGTAAAAAACAAAACTTCGTTTTAAACTGCACTTTGCAAAGTTTTAAGGATGATTCAAAACGGCATTTACTAAACATGGATTTCGATATACTAGATTTCAAATACCTTTTTTGAAAACAATTTAAAGGTTTAAACTAAATTACTTAAAAGTAAATTAAATCTTTAACATTTTCTTTAGCTTTTATTAAAATGGTTTCAAACCAGTAGTATAAAAGATAACGAAAATAATATTGTATTTTTCGTTCATATTTTTGATGGTATTAAATAATCAGCCCAAATACTTATGTTTACATATATTGCTTTTTTTTTTTAATTAAACAACGCATTTTTTTTGTGTTTTTATAAATTTCATGATTTTCTGTCGTTTTTACGTTTTTATTTTAAAAATTATTCTGCTGGAAGATTGTTAGCAACAAATTATTTTATTTCTGAAGTTTTTGTTTTGTTATTGTTTTTGTATTTATACTGTCTTTTTGTCATCTATCATTTATTGTGCATATAAATTTTTGTGTGACAGGGCTCGGTAATAAGAAAACCTGTCTTTTTCTTGCTCCGGCCAGGATTTTCTTTTACTGTAATTTCTTTTTTGTAATATTTATCAACGGCAAAATAAATAAATAATAAAAAAATATATGGGTAGGTTTTAATGATTCTCAAAAATAAAAAATGTAGTATTAAAAAAGTTTTTTTTTTTTAAATATTTTTTTTTTAAGTAGATAAGTAAGTAAAGTTAGAGAAAACTAAGCATTTTTTTGAAGGCATAATTTTTTAATACTGATTTAGTAAATTTCTGCGAATTAATAACTGCGATATCTGCAAAGCAAAACTTAAAGTAAGTAATTTTTGTCTGAGTTTTTTGTCTGACTTACATTTAGTAATTATAAATGATATTTTAAAATGAAAAGTATTTGAATGCATTTTTTTTTAATTGCTATTTTATTATTAGTGAAATAAATCTTCGTGTAAACATGACAACTGACTGTTTATGTTCTATTCAAAATATAAGTTTTTACCTACAAGCAGAAACAAAGTTGATATTTAAAGGTTTTTATTGGGATGGAAATGATCACTTAAATGATTTCTCGGTTAATCAGATTGGAAAATTCTCTGTCGTTCAGGTAGTTTACTATATATATATATATATATATATATATATATATATATATATATATATATATATATATATATATATATATATATATATATATATGTGTGTGTGTGTGTGTGTGTGTGTGTGTGTGTGTGTGTGTTTGCGTGTGTATGCGTGTGTTTGTGTGCAAAGACGATATTAAGTAAAATAAGACGGGGGGGGGTGAATCCATAAAAAGTACCGACTTGCTTCGTAAAAAAAAAAAAAAGGTCCTCAAAACTAAAATTTAACCAACTGAGTTGTGTCAAATACCCGACTAGCCAACTAAATTCGTAAAAAAAATCGACTATAACTTAAAAATCACCTTTTTTTGGGGGGTCAAATACCCCCTCTCCCTGTAAAATGGCCTCTGTGTGTGTGTATTTTCTTGTATATAATTTATATATTGTCTAATTAGAGGTAAACAAATCTATAAAGTATATAAAATAGTTATACATTTTTACAAACATAGTTTTAGTTTAGAGTTCCTTTATATTTTAATATCATTGTTTTAATTTTTTTTTTTTTTTTTGAACCAATTGATTTGAGTTTAAGTTTATACTTCAAATCACGGATACCGAGATACTTCAAGCTGCCTAGAACAGCAACCGTGATTGGCCTCTTTTTTTTCTTAAAATTTCCTATATCATTGTTAAATAATTTTTTTTTCAGGGACCGTTTTATTTGTCCCCCATTGGACATCTTCCTGGACAAACTATCATTTTCAACTCCCCTCCTTCCCTTACTGCGTCTTTACTTCAAATGATACTTTATTTTTTTTGTTTATAAAATAATAATTTTTTAAACTAGCAATTTTACAAAATTCTGCTTTCATATATTTTAATTAGGATCAATTTTTGAAAACTTTTCGAATACAACGTTATCTAAAAGAAAAAAAGTTCGGTAAAAATGTTTTAAAATTATCGAATAGCTAAATTGAATTCAAAAATTAAAATTGAATTTTGAAAGGTCGGATTAATTTTGAAAAAAAGTAATTTCGTTATGTTAAATTAACTTTGAATATTAAACGGAGTTTAGAATAGCTAAGATATACAGTCTGAGAATAATCTATACAGACTCAGAATAATCAGTGATGAGCGCAACCTGATTCGCCGATTTTAAAAGAGAAGCACGGGCGTGTATTTTGAAAATGGACTAAAAATCAAAACAAGCAGTTTTGAAAGTATTGAAATAATGATTAACTTGTGTCATCTATATGAAAAATTCAGTTTATTTTATCACTTTTTAGAGTATTTAAAAGTAATCTTAAAACTTCAATAATATTTATCTTAATGTGGTTTTATTTATTACGTTTTATGAAAAAAAATGTATTTGTTAAAGTAACTTTGAAAAAATTTTTTTTTGAGTTCCTCGTTAAGTTTAATACATTAAAAATTTAACAAAAGAAGAGAAATTTATTGATTTGTCTACAGAGTCTTTAATACGGTTACATATAAGCATTGATATTACAAGCAAACAAAACGTATTGAAGTCAAAAAAGTTTGCCAAATAAAAGTGAATTATGACATTAAAAGAACGAAACGGTTATGATGTTTTTGTTTCTTTAGATTATTTTTATCATAAAATTAACTTTTTATGAGCTTATTGTACTTAATAGGTATAATTTTATTTAAAAAAACTGTAGGGGAAGTTGGGGTACAGTGGATTTCTAAAATTAACATACATTTAATTGATAAATCAATCATAAGGATATTTTGCATTTTTAGAAATAGTTTTGTGGTAGATCATTTTTTAGTAATAACTGTCTAAGTTTGGCCTCAAACTCTTTTAACATTGTAAGAGTCTTAAGTTAAGATATTAGTATTTACTTAACTAAAGTAAATTTTCTTACCTTGTCATGGAGGTCATGGTTGAAATAACCTTAAAAGTTGAAGTTTTTCATTCGAATTATTAATATTTATGCTTCTTTTTAATAGTTTTGCTTTTATTTTAAAAACATTCGTGTCCCAAGAAATTAGACTTAAACTTAAATTGTTGTGGTCTGGCACAGTGAATTGGGGTATATGAATAGGTTGATACACTATGCCCCATTAATGATACTGAAGATTACATTTGTGCATTTTAAACAAACAAACTACATGAAAATAAGTTTATAAGTTTTAAGTTATGAATAATATTTGAATAATTTTATTATATTTTTATAAGTTTTATTATCAATAAAATGTTTTTTTTTTTCTTCCCAACTTTCAAAATGCCTATTTTTTCGATTTTATACTAATCTGTTTAATAAATGTATGCCAAAAGTATAGTGTACAGTGTCTTAACTCCCTCAGTCATAGCAGTTATTTTGCTATGCCCTTATTTACTATCATTAATTAACACCTGTGTTCATTGATTCACTGTATCCCATTTCTGGGGCACGGTAAATAACGTAACACAACTTATTTTAAATCTTTCTGTGGCCGTTAGATAATAAGTATGTGGATTTTAGTGATTTATTATCATGAAAGGCACATATATTTTAATCCTTTTGCCTTGAAAAAAATAAAATACGTACTTTAACTTTTACTTAAATTTAAAAAATAAAAAAATTAGATCCACTGTGCCCTAACTTCCCTACTTTTTTATACTCCTTCTATTAAACCGTAAAACTTTATATACACAGTAAATACATATAATCGTATATATATAAACACTACGAAAATTATTAAACATAAGAAAACTACTTATTAAATTGAAACGTCATTTAGTTTAATTATGGTTTTTTAATTTATACAACGAAGAAAATGGTTTGATAAGCTAATTTTTACTTACAGGAACAAAAATTTGCCATAAGTTTTAATAGTTAAACTTTACTCTTATTCATCTGTGTTTAAATCTATAACAGAATTGTGCAAATCTACAACTTCTAGTTGTAGATCTAATCTTTACAATAACCATCATATTCTTTTGTTATTCTACTACTCAACAGATGTGATAAAAATTTATTACTAGAAATAAGTTAAAGAAATATAGACCATTAAATATTGGAATGAACCCTGACCAAGTGGTGTAGAAGTAGAGCATCGCTTCATTATTCAATTTATTTGTCCGCGCAACGGAAAAATAAATTAACTGTTGACGAACAAGGCTACGCAATATCCCGTGATGGCTTTAACTCCTTGGTGCAATAACCCTTTTTTTTAACTCCAAGTACGAACAATGACAAAGAAATCGGCCTCCTTTGCCAAGAAAATGTTTTGGAGTTAAAAAGTTATATGAGGGAAATAACGACAAAATAAGTAGCTTTTTCAACTGTAGTGACCCTCCTGGAAACTGAACAACAATGAAAAAAACTTTCAATTTTTATTGAGTAGAACACTTAAGAAAAACTCACTTTGAGATTTAAATGCATTTAAAAATAAAATGTGTTAATAATTATTTAATTACAGGAATAAATTTATGTCTATATAATAAAAATATAAAACAAATATATTAGTATTATATTATATCATAAAAAATAAAAATTAGATTTAACCATAAAAAACAGTTTTCATCATCAAAAACTTGTGTCCAAGTTTTTGATAATAAGAACAAACTTTATCATAAATTAAGAGCAATACAACTTGACATTATAAAAAATAACTTTTGTCATATTTATTTTAGGTGAAAAATCTTTACAAAATGACTTATGTAACCTTCTCAGCAGTATTATCTTTTGATAAGAATATTCCGATTAAAAATACAAGTGTGTCGATCATAGTTAATTCACGCTGGATTTATAGTGATAAAGATCCTGTATTCAAAACTGTCCAGCAAAGGATCTCAGTTTTAAAGGAAAGAGGTAACTTTATAAAAGCATTATTTTAAATGTACTTTCCCTGCAAGCATTTTGATGTCGATTCAACGTTGAAAACGTGTTGATTTAGGACGTTGATGTAAGCGTTAATTTGGAAACATAAAATCGACGTTGAAATATCAACATTGATTCAACGTCAGTAAAATAACGTTGATTTAAAAACGTTGATTTAAGCGTTGAATTGGAAACAGGATATCGACGTTGAAATATCAACGTTAATGTAATACCGTTGAACTGACGTTGATTTGAAAACGTTGATTTAAGCGTTGATTTGGAAACAAAAAACCGCCGTTGAAATAACAACATCGCTTCAATATCAAAAAAGTTGAACTAAAGTTACGTTTTATAAAAATTTTTAAAGATAACACTTTACTAAAAATTTACTAAAATTTATTTATTAAAAAGTTATACAAGTTGAGGTAAGAGGGTAATTTATTTTTTATTTTCGCAACTACCTTCGTATTCCTTTAACTCAACATCACCTTCTACTTCACAGGTATCATCTTTTTGATTATCTTTATCACCTTCTTTTATTAACTTCTTCATCTTCTTTTTCGTACTTCTAAGATTTCCGTTTACTTTCATTTAAACAATGAGGTACATACTTCAATCAGGAGGCTAATTATGTACGAGTTTCTTTGTCTGGTGCTTTTGCATAATAGCGTTTAATCGATTCTAGAAAATAAATGGAAAAATAATCAAATTTAGTCAAGCAAAAAAACTGTAGAGAAAAGAGAGAAAATATAAGTAAGTGTTAAAATATAAGTATTCATATTTCATATGAATACTTATATTTTAACATTTTCATGTTAACTGATTTGTTTTATTTTCTGATTTGTTCAAGAAAAGTTTTACAACTATTTTTTACGAATTTAACTAAATTCCTTTGTTTTAAACAAGCAACCATTAAAAAGAAACAAACACTTAAAATTAAACTTTAACACTTAAAATCAAAATAATACCCTATCAATTACAGCTTTGTAAATATTTATCCTTTCAAAGGTAATTTCACTGTTACTTTTCCCTACGAAACAACCAAATTAAACTTTTATTGAAGTCTCTTTGTCATCAGCCTTAAACATGTCAAATGACAACTTCAATATTTTTCTTTTTAAACTAAAAATCAGTTAAACTGATTTTCTTTACGAAACTAGAAAGTATTAGTGATTACAGAAATGCTTTTGAAACAACTCTATTATCTAAAATATTTATTTGATCTCCATTTGTTTCTATTTGTACTTTCTGACTTTGTAAATAAATAAATAACTGCTTTATTAATTTTTCTCGATTCCGTAATCTGTGATGACAAAACAATCGATACTTTTATTCCAATAAAAAAATATAGAGTACAAATTCAAATTTAGAAGTACAAATTCAAATTTAGGGCTGATGCTAATGCATCAGTTTATACCAATTGGAATCTGGCATTGATACACCCCTAATATATAATAAATCAATATATTTCTGAAATAGTTGGTGGTTACATTTTAAAGTTGTTTATAAATAATAATATTACTAATATTGAGTTAACACCTGATGGAAATGATAAAAATAAAAATAGATAATAATGATAAAAATAATTTTTACTAAAATAAACATTAAAATCACAATATAAAAAAACAAAAAAAACATTACTAATAATAATGATGATAACAATAACAGTATTAAAAATAATAATGATATTACATGTTTTTATAAACACAAATACAGCTATATTATAATGAAAGACAGATACAGACAGTTAAAAAATTGACAACTAACAATGACATTTAACAATTATTTAAATAGAAAACAATAAAATAAGAAAAATAATACTAAAATTAAAATAATTCCAATTATATCAACAATTATAATAGCAATAACAATTATAAAAAAGATTAAAAATAAGATAAAACTATTCAACATTAAAGTAATACTATCAAAAAATTAAAATTGATAAAAAACATAACAAAAATGTAGTTAAAAAAAAAAGTTTAAAAAATATAAAAAAATTTATATTGTTATGTGCATATACAAAACATTCATATACACATATACTGATGTATAGATATGCGTTCACAGTTTACACACATATTTATATTTTTGCACACAGAAATACGCATACGCGCCATACAGAAATACATAACACTCACATAGTGATACATATAGATATACATAGTAATGTATACATACACATATAGATATGCACTTTTAAAATATATACAACTTTATAAATATATGACCAAAATTAAACAAACTACAAGGAAAAAATTCTAAGAAGACAGGACAATACAAAATAAAAACATGATAATATAAACAATGCCTAAAAAACACAACACACAAAATAAAATAAAGATACACAAGAATCTCTGAAAAAATAAAATAACAACCCAAACAGCGTACAAAAATACATATAAAAACAAACAACCTAAAAATATACAGGACTATTAAAACAGTATACAAAATTACATGACAATATAAACAATGTATTAAAACAATTTAATAAATTAACAAAAAAAATTCTTTTTTGCTGTAAAGTTCCTTATAAAAATACTATTTAATATTTTTGTTAGTGGAACTTTTTTAATTAGACTTTTTACTTTGTTTCTAATATTTTTTTTTTACTGTTTTTTTTTCTCTACAATTTATTTATTTAAATTGTTTTTAGTTTTTTACTTTGTTTATTGCTGTTGTTTGTTTTTTCTTCTTTATTTTAAAAATGTTTATTTTTTTGATTTTCTCTTTCATTTATTTATTTTTCTCTCTCTTTCTTTTAACTATATATTTTTATATATATTCTCTCTTTCTTTTCACTATATATATATATATATATATATATATATATATATATATATATATATATATATATATATATATATATATATATATATATATATATATATATATATATATATATATATATATATATATATATATATATATATATATATATCATATATATATATATATATATATATATATATATATATATATATATATATATAATTAAGCTAGAAACTTGAGCTCAACCTCTTTCCAACCATGTATAGCAGTGGCGTGTGCATGTGCAACAGCTTGAAGATTTTCAATAATATATATATATATGTATATATGTATATATATATACATATATATATATATACATATATATATATATATATATATATATATATATATATATATATATATATATATATATATATATATATATATATATATATATATATATATATATATATATATATATATATATATATATATATATATATATATATATATATATATATAATTAAGCTAGAAACTTGAGCTCAACCTCTTTTTTAACCATGTATAGCAGTGGCGTAACTAGGGTCCCAGTGGGCACAGAACGTAAAAAAACGTTCAAAAGACGTCCAAATTGTGTATAAGATGTTTAAAAGACGTTTTTTTTACGTCCGTGTCCACTAGGGAAATTAAATTTTGTGATTTTTAAAAAATAGCTGTTAATCAGGGTTCCTGTTTAACTTTTTCCTATCCAGCTGTTTTGACAAAAATGTTTTTGCGAACAAGTATATATTAATAGAAAGATAAATGAACTTTTTTATTATGTGAGTTTTGTGAAGCATACTCGAAAGCCGCTACCAGCGGCTTCCTGTAATAAAAGAGTTAATACAATACTTTGTTACCCAAATTGAAAATTATATTTAATTGTTTTTTATAGAAAATATTACCTAAAAACTATGTAACGTTCATTAGAGAAAAAAAAAAGTGAATCTGCAGGTCAAAAAAGACGCTTATTAGAGGCAAAATAAAAGTAGAAAAAATCAGAAAACCTTTTAAGACCTTTTTTCAAAAATCAAGCACAAACTTCTTTAAAATGTTCGAAAAATACTGCAAACTCCAAACAATTAAAAATTAAAAGTTCAACGAAGGAAGAATTTGACGCAACATTAAATAATGCAGAAAAGACATCAGGAAATATGTTGACAAGATATTCAGAGAATTCTAGTTATTGAAAGTCTGCTACTTCTAAAGAATTAGGCTAACGAAGGTATTAATATAGATGAAGTTAAAGTGAATAAAAATTGGATGTCAAAAGACGCAGAAAATAATAAAAATCTCGTATCTAGAGATTGAAGACCATGTTTTCAGTCTTCTTAAGTTAAGTAAAGAATTGAAAAAGGCAACTATAACTGACGCGTTAAGAATTGAAATAATAAAAATCGGTTCAAAGTACGTACCAAAAATATTAAGGGCCCTAAGTAGTTGTTTGATAAACAAAAACGGTTAAAATAATTAGAAAATGATCTTGGTAATCAAGTGATGCGTTAATGGTTAGTTTATTCAGCTTCTAAAATACCTGTCTTTTGTATTTGTTGTCTTCTTTTATCCTGGTTTGATAACCAATCTAGTTTGGAACAAGAAAACGGATTTATACAATTGAAAGCGCCTGAAAGTTCTCAGTTTGAATGTTCATGATATCTCAGAGATTGTTCATAAAAATTCTAAAAATCATCGACAATGCTTTACTTAGTGGAAAGAAATGGAAAGATATAAACTTAAAATAGATAATTGATGCAGAACTTCAAGAGCGAATTCAAAGTAAAAGTTAGAAGTGGTGTGATATTGTGAAAAGACTTTTACACTGCATCAAATACCTTGCGATATAAAATCTGGCTTTGCGAGGCCCCAGAGATCCACTTCAGTCAGATTATACAGGAAAATTTTATATTTCATTTTATATTTTTTTCTCTTGTCGTGAAAATCTTCAAGCTGTTGCACATGTGGCTTTGATGTCTGACACCGCTACCAGGTGGAGCGCAAAAACAGAATCACCCAAATCTGTCAACAAATATCATGAGAAAATAGTGAAAGTTCTCCTGAACATAATAGACGTTGAAAACGTGACTAGTGAAACCAAAGGCGACGCACAGTGCCTCAGAAACCTTAAAAAGTGGCCAAAATTACATTTAAAAAATAGTGATTTTAAATCAGTTTAAAAAAGTTAGTTTAAAAATTTAAAAATC